ATTTGCCACTGATGATTCAAACGCGAGTTTTGGGCAGTAGAGTAGCACTTGTTGTTTGTCATTTCTCCGATCACAAATGCAGACATGGTTTTATGTTTAAGTGGCGCGATGCAATGCAACGCGTAAAAAGACAGTATAAGTTATTATAATCCATAATTATGTCCCCACTGGATGCAACAAATGCCTCATTTATAATGGGTTTTAATGTTTTTGTCTCGTCGCTCCGGCCGGGACAAGGCATCACAGTATGGTAAGGGGCGTAACATTTCCGTCACACGCTTGAGGTATTCGGCCAATCACAATGCACTGGATAGCTGGCCAATCAGAGCACACCTTGCTTTTCAGACCGATGAGCTTTGTAAAAATCTACGCGTTTCAGAAAGGCGGGGCATAGAGGAGAAACAATAATGTACAGTATGTGGAAAATAATGTGTTTTTTGAACCTTAAACCGCATAAAAACATTTCATTGCACAAAATAATGTTCTTTTTAGCAACATCATATGACCCTTTAAAAGTCTGGGGTAAGTAAGATTTTTAAGTATTTTTTTAAAGAATTACTACTTCTATTCAGTAGTTAAGTCAGAGACAGTATGGACATTTCAAAATCATTAAAATATATGAATTATCTCAAATCATTGACTGGTAGTGTACATTTGATCAGTTTATGCATTCCCTAGGAATTAAACCCATGTGGTTACATTGCTAGCGCCATGCTCTACCACTTGAGCTACGGGAATTGCATCAAAAAAACAGTCTATTCTAATCATGTGACTTGATCATATTTATGATATCATGGTTAACTTACAGCTTACAAAAAAACCCAATAAGCATTGAGCAGAGATACAAAAATAATGGGGATAGCATAGCTCAGATGATTTGGTCTGGCAAGAATATGATGCAAATTAAGATTATGTTAAAATCTCAGACTTCTGCATCTGCTTACTTTGGCATCTAGATCTCTTTTAAAACAAGTGGAGACATGATAAAAAAAAAATAATCTGTCTGAGAAACAGAAGACATCTCAAATTGTTATTCATTTAATCTCAGTGTGGTCTAGGATATGCAGCTGAAATATGACATATGAAATACATATTGTGGTGCTTCTTTTCTATGGGTACTGCATATTGCAGTATAGCGTGTGATTTCTGCCCACTATTAGAGCTACAACAAAAACTAAGAGCTTTCAGTCACATGATCAGTGGATCTTTATTTAGAGCACTCCTGTCTGTATAGCGCTCTCTTTCTCTCTCTCCAGCTCTTTAATTTGAGCGTGTGCCGTAACAGCCGTACAATCAATTGCTGAGATTCATTACTTTTATCTGCAGCATGCAGGACATTATAAAAGACACACGAATTAGAGCTCACACATTAACACCAACTGGCTCTTACCCCCTCTGTGGTTCCTGTGATAACGTGAAGCCCATCATATGTGGATTTGATGTACATTCCCTTAAAATATAAAAGACACAGGATGAAATTAATAGACTATAATGAATCATCTCCTCATCTCTTCCTCTTTCTGTCTCATGCAGAAGAACACTTCAAATGCTTTTAGTCTATTCATGTGTATATAGAGATGTGAAATTACTTTTAATAAAAGAGATTTTTGAACACAAGCATGCACACACACACACACACACACACACACACACACACACATTTGCTCATTAGGACAAAGATCAATGTTGAGGAAGTTACATTGAAACTGTTTGGCAAGATATACAAGCTGCTCATAAGTTACAATAATTAGTTAAGATACAGTCAAGCTTCACTGCTAACAAAAGGTTACCATTACATATTCATTCAAAAGTTTGGGGTTATTAAGATTTTTCATATGCATAAGTTTTCTCAAGATCTCATATGCTCACCAAGGATGCATTAATACATATTTTAATTATATATATTATTAAAGTTATGCAAATAAAGGGGCAATTGCCCCCTCGAATTGTTATTCATGTAATCCCAAGGGCTAAATACCCTCAACGTGTTTTTGCAGCGTTGAGCAATATAACCAATCACAGACATATCTGTTGATTTCTTAAACGCAATGGCCAATCTGAAACGTTTTGTCAGAATTCACTCACCGCTGAAAGCGCCGCAGTTTTTAAGTGCAGTTTTGCACACTCGCGAATCATCTCATGACCTTTCACACGGTAAGGTACGCGGCAGTCACGAGTGTCTAGTTCATTCTCAATGGGAGACATGCGGAAAGCGGCAAAACGCGGGCAGTTTCAACCAATTAGTGAACAGATTACTAACAACCATGACCACATCAATACGATTTTTTTTTTGCATTTCCAGCAAAGCCCTGCGCCTGGGATGCATTGTTTAGGCTCAATTAATCTTCTCAATTTTCCTTTAAAATTATATTTCATTCAAATTTTTACTTGAATCATGACCTCACAGGTAATAATGCTTCAACAACTTCACTTGTGCCAAACGAAAAAAAGGTAAATAATGACAACAATTAATGACAGAATGACACAAACACAAATTTCCGTTATGTTTTATTTAGTTTTTAGTAAATGCAAAGGTTATGTTGACAATTGTAACTATGGCAACGTCCTCTCCGAGACCGCAACGCGACCACCGCCTCAACTGCACAAAACGCTTTCACTACAAGAGAAAGCGGCAGCCGCGCGGCGATTCCACCGCTTGCCACGTCCCGTGTGAAAGGGCCTTTAAGTGCAGACGCGATGTAAATAAGAGATTCATTGTGCAGTTTAGAGAGCTTCATTGATTATAACGGAACTTTGTAAGATCGCGATGAACGAAGATGAGTGATGCTTTTTAGTGATAAAGGGAGGGCGCTTTGCGCATTTTCTAGGGTATAATCCATTCAGAATTTGTATGAAACTTTCGTTTTCGGACACATAGGCTACACCCTGCAAAGTTTCGGGAATGACATCTGCATATTTATGCGGGATTCACTTTCGAAATAGCAGAGATTGGCAATGGACGGAACATATAATAATAATGATTTATGCATTTAGCAGACGCTTTTATCCAATGCATTCAGGCTATACATTTTTTACCAGTAAGTGTGGCCCCTGGGAATCGAACCCACAACCTTTTGCGCTGCTAACACAATGTTCTACCACTGAGCCACAGGAACATATGTTCATTTAACTCTGGAACCTGTCCTGGCTAAACCTCCACAGACAGCGCACGTCCCGAGCGAGATCTAATTCACGGACCAAAAGCGTGTGTAAACTTTATTGAGATCGGGACATATCAACCCGTAATTTCATTTCATTTCCAGTAAGGGACGGTAGAACGTTCAGCAATGAATGGTATGCGATTTATGACAGAATATAGTCTCACAACTGATCGTTTATTTTTTCCTCACGTGTCTCGCCTTTGGTAACAACGATTCAAAATGGAAACATTTCAAGTGACACGGGAAAAAGACACGGAAAACTTCAGTGAACATCAGAAAAGCAGCATGCACATTTCTGGTTAAAAATGAAAGGCCACTTTGTAGTCCACAGTTTACTAAATGGTGGCAACCGCTTTAAGTTATTCTTGACTGTGTTGGATTGACTGCTTTGATGCGTTGCAATACGGTAGGTACGGTGGCCGAGAAGTGCAAAACAAATCACAATTCTGAAAACAAAATAACATATATATTTTTTTTTTTTTTTATGGCAAGCTGAATTTTCAGGAGCCATTACTCCTGGCTTCAGTGTCACATGGTCCTTCAGAAATTATTCTAATATGTTGATTTATTCTAATATGTTGATTTGTTGAAAACATAATTCATAGCACTAGAAAGTTCTAAAAAAAAAACATTTATTTGAAATCGAAATCTTTGGAAAATTATACGTCTTAACTGTTACTTCTGATCAATTTGATGCATGCTTGCTTAATAAAAATATGAATTTATTTATAATAAATCTTACTAAGACCAACCTTTTGAATGGCAGATTATACTGTACATTAGTTACTTGTAGTTATATATCTTATATTAAATAATTAATAGCATTTAATATATTAATAAATTATCAGATACTAATTATCAGAACTCATTTATTTTTACAATCGGGCAGATATAGTTACACTAGATTTTTTAGTTCACAATCATCTGTAGCACAATATAATTGTGTGTGATCTTACCAGACCCTCTGTAGGTTTAATATTAGCCAGTTGAACCACCTCCAGATGTGCCGACTGGGAGACCAGGGGGTCTGACGACAGTGAGATGATGTGGTCACATACCCCAGACAATGTCTTACACTTGAGAGAGAGAAAAAAAGAGGGAGAAAGCATATCAATTATTTTCTGCACAGATATGCTACACTGGGCGAACATTTATTAGATTTAACTCAGCATAGTAGATATGATCAAATTTAGGTTTAATGTCCCGTGACCACAGAATGCATCTTTAGCTGAAGTCAATACTCCGCTTTTGTAGGGCACAGTTTTAATAAACAGGTGCAGTTCTGAAGCCATTTCCATTGGGAAGGACTTTGTTATGCCTAAAAAGACTAGGACTAAAGCTATGGGTTGGTCAGGTATGGTGATAATTTGTTTTGGAAAATGTGCTGTATTAATTGTCAGGAAGTTGAGTTTCATCCTGCTTTAGAAGAGTTCATTTTTTCAAGTCATATCTTTTTTCTCTTCCCCATGTGTTTATCAGTCTTCCCTGTACTCTCACCCCTTTTCATTCATTATCTCAACAGCGTTATATCAAACTCTCAGCGATTATGATCAGATTTCACATGTCTGGGATATTGGTGGAGTTCACTCAAGGTGAAGGAGGTGGGAATCGATGTCGTTTCATTTCCTGTTAACCACTGCACTATTCCTCTGCTCTCCACTTTTCTCTCAACAAGCTTTTTACTGGCATGACTGTAAAGTAAATTACAAAACTGCTGAGACATTCAAGAAACTTTTCAAATATAGTAAGCAAGAAGCAAACAGTGTTAAAAAAACTACAATACATAATTGGAAGGAAATATACAGTATCTATCTAATCACAACACAAAACACCTATCTATCTATCTGTCTGTCTCTGTCCGTCCGTCCGTCCGTCCGTCCGTCTGTCTGTACCTAGAAAACATTACCACATAGCTATATCTATGTACAGCAGCAACACTATTGTCATGCTTGCCATTTTTCACTTTGCTACTGGATTTGCAAAACATGCACCTGGATTTCTCTGCCTAGTATGACTGCAATTATATTGCGATTTGTATTTGCTTTTTAGGGTTCTGTAGCACTTCACTCTGTTTTATGGTTTCATCTCTCTCTCTCTGCTTCTGCTTTCATCTGGTGTCATTGGTGTGTTTGTTTCTCCTCCTACAGTCAGTAGCTGAGGTGGGGTAGTGCTGGGGAATGAAATCTGCTGCTAGCAGGCGCAATGTGTAGGTATTTATAGCTGTGGGTCTCAGTGAGAATGACAGCTGTGCCCAGCCCAGCAGTCTGTGGCGACAACAGGACCTGCCACACACACTGCTGTGTGCTAGTGTGTATGAGACGGGAATCTCACAAAGAGCCTAGCTGTGGCTCTCCTGTGACTGCAAAGGGAACTTCACCTCAGGGCTTGACTAGTAAAATACATGTTCACAAAATGGTTACCGGAGAACTGTAAAAAAAATGTAAAAAAACACTGAGATGAGGAATCATGTCTTTTACATGAAATAAAAGCAACTATTAAAATTGACTTCAATGTTGTATTCAAAGGCTGAGATCACTGCAAAATAAATAAATAAATAAAAAGTTGTGATCAAAATGTAGATGCATTCATTTGAATCATGTATTTTAAATTATTATTCAAAAAGAAGTCCCTCAACTAGAAGTCTGTTTGAGAGTTATACTTTAAATAATACGTGGAAACAATATAATATAATAATATATAATCAGGCCTTAAATGGTTCTTATCTTGAAAAAAACTACTAGTTTAAAAGCACCAAACTCAGACTCATAAATGTACAACACAGAATGTATCAACAATGTAAAGGTCTATTTCACTATAAAAAAGGTCAAGGAAGATTATTTGGGGCCTAAAATGCTGACTCAAATAAATCAAACATTTAAAGCATCTATTCACATCACTGTGTGGTTATAAAATTAGTCATCAGGAATTTACATTTTATTAATTATTTGGTTTGGAAAAGTTTATGTATTAATTGGCAGGGAGTTGGTTGTATATAATATAATATAATAAGTTGGTTGTAAAGAGGTATATTATATATTATATGATATTATATTATATTATATTATATTATAAAACTATTAGATGAACAGTACTTACAATAACTGAAGCCTTAATTTACAACTAACTGTGATATAGTGCAATCTAAAAATAGATGTATTTTTACTGCAAAAAAGATCAAGGAAGATTCTTTGGGGCCAAAAATGCAGGCACTACTGAATGATGACTCAAAAGAATCTGTTTGGTAAATGGTTAATTGAAAATGAACATTTACAGTGTCCATTCACATCACTGTGTGGTCATAAAATCAGTCAGGAGTTGAAATTTTGTCTAACACACAGAAATAACAGGCAGAGAGAGAGTACGTGTACGAGCATCCTCACGGTACTTCCTGTAAATGAAGAAATAAGGGCAGAGCTCACAGGAGAAACATTAGAGCTCATTATCAGCCTCATATTGCAGAGTAAACCAGAAGAGAAACACTTACCACATGGAGGATCTTATTTTCGGTTTCATAGACGGTGCAGTCCTGCGAAGAGGAAAGAGTAAGATATTACTGCCATTTTAAATAGTTTAGGCCTCTCACGTACACACTCACCCACACAGAGCGCTTGAGAAAACATTTACTGAGCAAAGTATCTCTGCAGATGGGATAATCTACCAAACAGCTGGGTCACTGTGTTCAGAAATGTCTCTCTCTCTTTTTCTCTCTCAGATGCTGATCTAATATAGGAAGGTTGAACAGAGGAGAGCCCCGGGCTCAATTTAACATTCAGGCTCTGATGGAGACAGTTCAAGGAGCTCCTGAGGTTCCCGCTGGGAGCCGGGACTGCTGTGAAAGTTCATGGAGAAATAGCAAACCTGCAGTGTGACTGTGTTTGTGCAGGTGTCATATACAATAAGATATATACAAGCGGAAAAACGTGAAGGAAACTTCTGCAGTTATTTGCGTGTCCATTGGTCATAAACATCAATTTTATCAAGTACATTGATTATTATTAACTACTGTAATCTGACGCTGGAAGTGTCTCCATTGGAAATTCGTTGGGCAGTAAAACAATTGTAAATTTTAAACAAAATGTTTATTTCCAATGAAAATATATCCATTTATATAAAAAACTACTCCGAATTGGGTATTTTAGAATAATGATACAGAATTATTTTAGATGATTTCTATTTCAAATTAATGATGTTCTTTAGACATTTCTATTATAATTCATTGCGTTTTGCACAAAATATTAAGGAGCACAACTATTTTCAACATTGTTGATAAGAAATACTTATTGAGCGGCAAATCAGCATATTAGAATGATTTCTGAAGGATCATGTGACACTGAAGACTGGAGTAATGGCTATTGAAAATTCAACTTTGCCATCAAATAAATAAATGACATTTTAAAATAGAAAACAAGTTCTTTTAAATAGTAAAAATATTTAAGAATATTACTGCTACTGCTACTGTAAATGTACGTAATGTTACTGCTACAATTGCATATAAATATAATGAATATATTATAAATATAAACACACATATATATATATATATATATATATATATGTGTGTGTGTGTGTGTGTGTGTGTGTGTGCAAAACACAATATTTTAAATAAATAAATAAAAGTCATAATCAATTATGTAATTGATACGGAGCAATTAAATCAATAAAATCCTGCAATGCAATGTTGCAATGTGCAGCAGTTTAGTAGTTGATTATAATGGAAGTGACATTTGACATTTTTACTGAATAAGGCATAATGTAGTGCTGTTGTGAAGCAGGTTTTTTCTTGTGGGTGCCAAGTAAGTCATTTAATATTCTTAACAGTCCTGTATTATTTCATAAATGGCCAATGCATCATATACATCAACCAAAGAATATGGTATAGCTTTCTATTCATGGAGCAAATAGCTTTATCATTCAAAGAAATGACATTGTGAGGACATTTGTTCCAAGGACAGACAAACAAGATCATAAACCCTTGTTTCATGTATACAGATAAATTGAGCATTTATGAAATATTAAAGAAGATGTACTGAAGAAACTGATCTCTGGCCATCAGCCATCACCATGGCAACACCCACTCTGCTTCCTGTATCCATCACTGACCCCCAAACCTAACAATGCCCAGTAGGAGGACATGATTCTCTTTTTCTTTGGTCGTTGAAACTATATGTCTCCGTTTCTGCAGCATCTTACCGAGAGGGCTTATTTTCTGTCATCGTCTTTGGTGCTCTCACCTGCACCTCTTCTCTTTCATCACAATAAAGTAATAACCAGCCCTCACACCTGAGACACTCGCACAGCCAAAGCCTTGAGAGAGAGCGAAAGAAAAGAGTGTTCCCAGCAAATGAAACCGCATTGATTCAGTTCCCTTCTGAGCACCCCTGAGCATCTCTGTACCTATTCTCCAGTGTTGTCACTCAAGCCATGGATCATCACGCAGGACGCCAGTGTGCCAATGTGTGTGTGTGTGTGCGTGCATGTATGACTGGAGGCGCACATAAGACACATGCATTCACATGCCACAGTATGGTGTTTAAAGATCACACAAAAAATGAAATTCTGCCAACGATTTATTCACCCTCACGTTGTTCCAAATCCAAATGACTTTATTCTTTTACACAAAAAGAGTTTTTGAAGAAAATGGACAAGGGACTGGAGCTGTCGAGCTTTAAAATCAAAATAAAATGATCATAAAAATGGTTCTATATAGTTGCTTTAAAATGTAATAACACTTCACAATATTACTGTTTAACTGTATTGTTGATCAAATAAATGCAGCCTTGGCGAGTTTTTCAAAAACATTTTTTTAAATGTAGGAACTAGTGTATTTTAAATTTAATGTTTGTATTGCTAAAACTGCACAGAAATATGATTGAAAATAAATAAATAAATACATACATACATACATGCATAAAAATAGTATACCAAAATCACATCACATCAACATATTTTGATGTACAAAACACAATTAACACAATGTCAAAAGTTAGATAACGGTTATTTACAGTAGTTATTTAATGGCTCGTACTGGCTCATCACATTGTTTTTATATTGGTTCTTATGCTGTAGTTAGTAAACTGAACTCAAGATCCAGATTAGTGTGATTTATGAACAAATTATTTGGATTGTCTCTGTAAATTGGATTAAATTATTCATTTAAAAGATCCGACTCAAAAGAACCATTTATTCACAAATCAAACATTGCAAAACGTTCCAAAGAGAGCTCTGTGGATGAAAAATATTAAAGAGATAGTTCACCCAAAAATAGGGTGACCATAAGGGCCATTTTTACGGGACGCGTCCTTGTCAGGATTTCTATATTGCCTAAAATATCCAGGTTTTGGCTGTTTGCACTGTGCAGATTGATCATTGTATGACATTCACGAGAGCTATAGAGAGCAGATCAGATGGTTCCTTATGCTTTCGAATCGCTCTCGAGGTACTTTGGTGTCATTCAATGATCGGTGCGCAGAGACGCTTCAAGTCGAACGAACGAACAAACAAACACGTGCGCTTATTTGCATCGCTTTGATCGTTCTCTGTAGATCTCACCTTCTCACGCGCCACGATTGGTCGATTATATACAATACCTGCATGTTATTGGTCAAACTACTTTGGATGTTTTAGGCAATATAAAACTCCTGGCCAGTACGTGTCCCGTATGAACGGCACACACCTTAGTTTATCTTCTGAACACAAATTACGCTATTTTTTATGAAATTCAAGAGCTTTCTGACCCTGCATAGAAAGCAATGGAACTGACCCATTCAAGACATACTGGTAAAAAATGTATAGCCTGAATGCACTGCAAGTCCCTTTGGATAAAAGCGTCTGCTAAATGCATAAATTATTCATTATTATTATAAATTATAAGACCCAGAAAGTTGTGGTACTCTCGTGAACATGCGTCAAAGACTGACATGGAAGAGATTCTCGTAACTTCATAACATTACGGTTGAACTACTGATGTCACATGGACTATTTTAACGATGTCCTTACTACGTTTCTGGGCCTTAAACTTGGTAGTTGCATTGCTGTCTATGCGGGGTCAGAAAGCTCTCAGATTTCATCAAAAATACTGTATCTTAATTTGTGTTCCCAAGATAATCAAAGGTTTTACTGGTTTGGAAAAACATGACGGTGAGTAATTTTCGGTTTTTCATTTTTGGGTGAACTATCCCTTTAAAATTTTGGTCTGTTTAACACAAACCTTTAGTATTGCTTTGGACACTAGGAATATATGTGCACAAGTCATATGGACACTTCTATGGTGTTTTTTTTTTTGTCATTATTTTGCAGCTTGGAGCAGCCACAGACCTTGTTCACTTTGACTTAATTGAGAACAGCTGTGTTTCACAAAAGAAAGTACGTTTGGAACAACATGAGGAGCAAATTAATGAGAAATTTTCATTTTTGGATGCAATATTACTTTAAATTATAAGTAAACACCACACAGAGCCAGACAATGAGAGAGACAAACACACCCAAACTAAAGATAGAGATACATCACTATCACAGTGATGCCAGCAGGCGGCGCTCATCCATACAGTCTATGTAAGTTACAATGCAATAGTATAGTAATGGGAACTGTGGACATCGAAGCTTTTGTTTAGATGTTTGTGGCCATTGATAGAATACCAGCGACCATCTTAGTCAAGTGCCCTGGCGGAGAAATCAGATGGTCAAGCAGGTTTTTGGAACATGCTAGGCTGGTACAAGATTGTCTACCAACTCAGTCAGGTCCCAACCAGCTGGTGGTCCATCTGGTCAGCTAAACCAGTTTGGATTATCTTGGATCAGTTAATTACCGGCTTGGATCAGGTAGAATCCAGCTAAAAACACACCTGCCAAATAGGAGAGAGAGGAATCTGTTCCATTTTGACCTAATCTCTCAGGGACCGATTTGGAGAAAGGGCCCCTGCTGGTCCTGAGCGCTCAATACTAGTTGCATTAGTTAAGATTAGACCCAGATCTCTGGCTTCAACGCTGTAATCTGTCCAGGATTAAGAGAGAGATTGTGTGCAGCGCTCAGGCTGAGCTGGCTTTGACAGACTCATCCATTTAATGCTGCTCTTGCTGGCCATGATCTTCTGACCCTACCAGAAATAATCTGCTGGGTACACAAACACACACGCTAACACACACGCACATCACTGCAGGGGCCTTGAATCCTTCTCCTTTCTCATATTTCTCTTTTGTCTGACATGGTTATTTCACACTGATTGTGTTTCCTTTCCTGCTCTGCTCTACAAGACTACATTACCCACAATGCACACTGCCTCAGTAGCAAATGAGATGTAGTCCTTGACATCCTCAGAGTGCATTCTAAAACCTTCCAAACATTCTAAAGACTTTTTAAAATGTGAAAGAATATGGGAAGAGCAGATGTGTGTGAGAGAGGTTTAAATAACATTTCATATTAATATCTCAAACGTGCACTCAGTAATTTTTTTCGTCATAAAAATATGCAACAGAAATTTATTTTATATTGACACTGGTGTCAATATAAAGGCCAAGAACACTGTTGTCTTGTCAGCTGAACAAAACTGTTACTTAGATTAGGAGATTTAATAGTTTTGAGTCTGTAAGATTTTTTTTTCTGAAGTATAATGTGACGACTGAGTAATGGCTGCTAAAAATTCAGATTTGCCATCACATGAATAAATAAAAAATTTATAAAATGTATTAAATTGACAAAACAGTTATTGTAAATTGTAATAAATTAATATTTCACAATATTACTGTTTTATCATTTTTTATTAAATAAATGCAGCCTTGGTGAGCATAAGATATAAAAAAATATAACATTTTTATTTTTATTTATAAATTAAAAAAAATGCCCAAACTTTTTAACAGTAGTGTATTTATATAAAATTGCATTCACAATCACAAATTCAAATTTTACAGTAAGAGACTGTTAAGAAACTATTTGATTAATGACAAAATAATTTTTATTCTAATGACAGTAGAATAGAATACATTAGATTTTAATATTAAGGGGAAAACTGCTAAAAGCTGTGTAAAAAAGCTGTATCTAAGTGTTAATCTTGATAAAAAAAAAGTAAATATTTTCCAGATAATTTAACTAATTTACCTATTTTTAACAATAATAAAAATTGAATTTTGGAAACAGAAACTTACACTAATTAATTTTTTTATACATGAAAATATATAGCTGCCTTTGTATTTTACATTTTTAATCACTCACCATCATATTTGGCAAAAAAGATTAAAAAACAACATTTAATACAACATTTAAAGGAATGAAAAAATGACAATTTTGTCATCATTTACTCACCCTCATGTCGTTCCAAGCCTATATCATTTTATTTCTAATGTTGAATACAAAAGAAGATATTTTGAAGAATTTTGAAGTACCAAACTGTTGTTGGTCCCCATTGACTTCCATAGTAGGGAAAAAAATACTGCTATTTTCACTTAGTGTAAATAGAATCCATTGCTAATACGAGATTTGAAAAGGGAGGAAAAAAAAGTTCGGAAAAAGACGGGATCGAACCCGGGTCGATCGCGTCAAAAAGCCAATGACATGCGCTTATCCATCTGCACCACTGGAGCTGATGATTCGCAGCTACTTTTAACTAAATGCAAATAGACACCCCTTATTTTTTATTCCATAGTAAGGGCAATTCATACAATACATTTAAACTGAGCTACTTTAATACCATCTCAGAACTTTCTACCACGACTCTGCTGTTCTTCGGCTGGTACTTCCTGTATACGTTGATTGACAGATGTCTCGTCCAGTCAGCGGTGAGTAATCCCAAACCAATGGCGCTGTCTCAAACTATACTTACCTCTTCCGGTTGTCTGATTTGTCGTTGTTTTCTGACTTGTTCATTTGTTTTCGGATTTGTCGTTGTGTTTTCTGACTTGTTATTTTGTTTTCGAATTTGTCTGTGTTTTCTGATTTGTTATAATGTTTTCTGAATTGTTGTTGTGCTTTCTGAATTATTTTGTTTTTTAGACTTGCATTTGCGTTTGTAATTTGGTCCCCATTGACTTCCATAGTAGGGAAAGAAATACTATTGAAGTCGATGGGGAACATCAACTGTTTGATAACCAGCATTCTTCAAAATATCTTCTTTTATGTTCAACAACTCAATTTTAAACTCGTTTTCAGAATTGTGATTTGTTTTGCACTTCTCGGCCACCGTAGGTAGGGCATTGTTTTGACGCTTACATCCAAAAAAAAAAATGTTTGTTTTTATTTATTTATTTCATTTATATACTGTACTTATTTACTTATACTGTATACATTTTTTTCTTGCCCCCCCTGACTCAACAGTCAAATGTCGCCCATATATATATATATATATATATATATATTTTTTTTTTT